TCTTCGGTTCCCCCTTTCCACCCCACATACCCTCCACCCCCCAGGCCTTGCCCCTCTCACCACTGGTCCTGAAGGGGTCATCTGTCCTGGATTCCCTGTGTTTCCAGTTCCTATCTGTACCAATGTACATCCTCAGGTCTGGCCAGACTTGTAAGTTAGAATTGGGATCATGATAGTGGTGAGGAGGAAGCATTTAAGAACTAGAGGAAAGTTAAATGTTTCAGCGTTGCTACCCTGCATCTTGATTGGCTCATCTCTTCCCCACAGCCCTTCAGTAAGGGGATGTCCAGCTTACCGATGGGCTTTGAGTCTCCACTCTGCACTCACCCACCTTTACAATGATATTTTGTGTTCTTTGATGCTTGATACCTGATCCCTTCGACAACTTGTGGTCACGCATGAAAAGACCAATATTTGTCACAGGGTTTGTCACTTTGGGTTGAGGAATATAGTCATGAAAATGTTCTTGTAACAATTTTTGCCATTATTTAAGTCTTGTCTGGCGTTATTATCTTGTATAATTCAAAACGTCTGATGAGCATCATACTGTTGTAGTCAGTGAAATTAAAAGACATATCTAAATTCTAACATTTCCAAACCACTTAATGGTACTGTTTTTCTTTCATTTTTGATGACAGATTGTTATATTTTGTGTCATATTCTATATCAATTTCTCTAATGTATCCTCAACAATTTTGTATTATACTACAAAGCTTTCCTAATGTTCAAGCGTGAAATATTTTTAAAATTGAGAGCATTTTCACTGTTTTTTTGGAAAGCATAGAAACTCATATTTGTTGAGAAATTTAAGCATAGAGGAAGAAATTTTCTCTGAATTAGAATGCTTCATAAAATTGGATAGTACTTTATTTTTTTTCAGGTTAATGTTAAACATATCTTTTTGAAAGCTACTGAAAAACTGTTGTTTCTGTATATATGAAGTAAAATTTCCTTAATTTTAGATATAAAATGATGTTTAATGACTAGATTGGTAGTTCATAGCCTAACTTTAGGGTAGACAGCCTTTTATAAGTTACTGATTTAACGTTGATAAAAGCGTTACTGTTGTGGGCAGAAAAAAGCAAAGCTACCCAAAAAAAACCCCAAAAAACCACTCCTGCGTTTGTGCAGATGTTTTATTGTGATAGATCTATTATCCAGCTATTAGAAGATAAATGACTGATCTTTCCCATTTTCCATGCCTCTAGAAAATTGAAATAAGAAGGGGAATATCATTTGGGCTGTATGATTAGGGCAGACTGGATGGCCATTAATTTAAGAGAAGAAAATCCTGGCAGCATTGGCCAACTTATACCATATTATCAATCAAGCCTTGATGCACTCCTTGTGATGACCCAGCACTCTCAGGGTTTTGCAGCGTTAATTAGAATTCATGACAAAATAGATGCAAGGAAACGTTTTGTACCCTTCATAATTTTATAGAAAATTTATTGTTATTAGAGGAACCATTTGCTTAGTGTGATTTTTTTCATTACCAGCTTGTCAACTAGCATAGATAATCTGGAGAAAATATGAACTCCATAGATGGGGTGTCACTTTTGTTGATGGTTCATGTAGTTTACCTTGGAGCACAGCTAATGGCTGAAGTTCATAGCAACAGCACAGAAAAACGTGGCAACCAAGGGAAGATAAATGAGCCATGTTTATTGCTTTAATATAAAAAATACATAAATGGAAAACTGCATTTGAATTTGATGAGCTCATTGCTAGTTCTGTTTGAGTGATTTATTTTTCCCCTGTACACAAAAAAGCTACTATTGACACAGGGAGATGGAAATTAACTGTCTGTTTTTCCTGAAACCAATATATTTGGTTTTAAAAACTTGAGTAGATCATTTTATTTTCATTTTGAATATTTTATAGAATATCGAACGCTTAATAGACTAAGATTATTAATTCCCCTGCCTGCATTTAGCCAGGGTCAAACTGTTAAAAACCATACAACAAAGTTTCTAAAATGGTCAGTTTTGTGTAGTGACGGTAATGCGCTACATTGTTCCACATTTTTTGGTGTGTCCTGAAAATGTATTTCTAGTGGAGAAATTGTTTTTCTTTATTTCTCTTGTCATGTTTATAATAACTTTAAATCTTGGTAGTACTTTAGCATTGTTATTTATTTATAACTCTGGGCTGAAATTTATTTTCAGGTGGTGGTTGATTAAAGAATGAATTCCTTCTATTTGTTGACATCTAAACACACTTAGAGAATTTCTACAATTAGGCATAAAGAATTGGTTTTACTTAGTTAATTTTAAGTTTTAATTACTTCAGTCATCTTTTCCTTGAGTTACTGTATTCTAAGTAGTGGTATTTATTGTATTCTAAGTAGTGGTATTTATTTTTGTACTTTGACATCCATTTCCAACTTACATCACAAATGAGTTGCTGTATAGTTTTATATAATAGGCTTAGTTGGTTAAAAAAATTTGCATGATACTAATTGCAGCCTCCAGGAACACGATTATCACAGAATTTATAATTACCTTGAAGAGTGATTAGTGCAGAAGACATAACAATGTAGGATTGAAAACATGAACTTAACTTCCTTTCCATATCAATACCAGATAGAAAATTATATGTATAATACATCTTTATTTAGCTCACAAAAATAATCATTTCTTTGCTTTCTCGATTGAGTTGCATACATGCTGGGACCAGCAGGTACCAGTGCATGGGCAGGGCTGGAGTCAATAAATGCGGCTTCACGTTTACACTGATTGGTAATTCATAAAATCCCCACAGGACTTGGAGCTTGTTTAGCATAATAGCAAGTCTATATTCTGAGCTGTTTTCTTTCAATTGTATTGTTGGTTGCATATTAATAAACTAAATGTCAGCCAAGTAGAGGGACAAACACTAAAAATATGAATATCATTGTATGTCATATTTTTCTAAAAGTACCATTTCAGTAAGTTTGATTTTCTTTAATTGCTTATTTTAAGTCATTGGGGAAATTTTAGATACTAAGATGAAGATCCCTGGTGTTCAGAAAGAATATGAAGTTAATTTGTTCTTTTCAAAACTGTGTTATGTTGTTTACTAACTGCATAGATATCTGTGGTACATTTATAGAAGCATTAGTGGGTTATATATTCTATTTAGGTTGTATCTTTATACAAATGAAATCTTAATTTCATCACTTTTTAAAAAAGCATGACAATTAAAAAATACTGCGCTTATGGGTCATTAATTTGTCTTGGAGAAATGTTGGTAATGCAGTGTTTCAATTTATACACATTGTTCTTTAAGTGATAATGATGGATTAAAATTGTATCTAGTGTATTTTCTTTGTAAACACATTTTGGAAAAATAACCAATTGGATTAAAATGTGTAATATTTCAAAGTTCTTGTCTTAAAAAATGCATGAATTTTTCAGATACTTTTTTTTTTCCAGATACTTTTAAAGGTAAATTGATTTTGGAATAATTGCCAACCTCATTTTAAACATGCTCCTGGCTATTTTCTTGATATTTTTCCCCTTTATTGTTGAATTCAAAGTATTTTTGAAAATGAAAACATACCTAATCTATTTTGTGCAGTTTATTGAACTTGAACCAGATTTTTAAAAAGTTGTCTCAATTTACCTCCCAGGCATGTTATAACTATTAAAATTATTCTTCGAGGGAGTAATGCTTTAAAAATGTATTTGTTTTTCAAACATGAAGAGTCATCTTATTATTTGATTGACTGAATCTTTTAAATATTGATTGTCACTAAACTGATCACACTACTAGAGTGCCTGCATAGACTCTTTTATAAAGGAATGGCTTTTTTTTTAATGAGTTACTATTTCTTTCTTTTGTAGCTGGTAGCTGGCAGCGTTGTGATGGCTTTCGAAGAAGTGTGTCCAGATAGAATAGACCTCATTCACAAGAATTACCGCAAGCTCTGTAATTTACTCGTTGATGTGGAGGAGTGGGGGCAGGTTGTCATCATCCACATGCTGACTCGCTATGCTCGGACACAGTTTGTCAGTCCTTGGAAAGAGGTGAGTGTGAAGCAGCTTTAACTCTTGGAAAATAGACTGGAATAGAAGACTTTTTCAGTGTGTGGTGGTGTGGTTTTTTTTTTTTTTTTAATTAAGAACAGTAAAATGTTGAGATCTGTATAGAAGGCTCATTTTTGTCAGGTTCTTTGGGAAAAGTAGGGAAGAGTTAGCGGAAGCATTCTATTTGTGCATTGATGAATGGTATGTTGTATCAGTTTTCAGTGGCACCTGGCTGGAGGCCCGTGTTAAGAGCTGTAGTGTGGTACAGTGCTTGACATAACCCAGCCAGGGAGTTTTTTCTTTACTAATGACTTTCTCCCCACGAGGGCTCCCTTCATGAACTCCTCTGCTTCCCAGATGTTCCAGGTACCCACTGGTAAAATTAGGAAATGCATTTCTATAACATGTAGATGTATGTTTGCTCACTAATTCTTTCCTTTATAAGTAAGCATTTCTGAAACTTTTAGATACCTTTTTTTCTAGTTTCCTCTTTCTGAAATGTGTGCATGTTTTCCTTTATACATTTAAAGGATAACACATTCATGCTGAAATGATATTTTGTATTTTTTAAAAGTAGCATGAACAGATTTTTTTAAAGTTTTCTAAAAAAATAAAAAGACAAAACCAAAGTGTTAATCAAACTCCAACTCCATGGAAGTGATTTGGTTGCAAACGTACAAATACTACCTGAGTGCCCCACACTTCTGAGTGCTTTTGTTCATTAGAAATAACATTTAATTTTGAGAAAAATATAAGTAAAATGGAGAAATTTACATAATACATGCTTTGAGGGTGTGCTAAGCTTTCAAATAAGTTTGAAGTGTTTTCAATGTTTGTTACACTGAGGCTTAATGTTATCTCAATGTCATATTCATACTAAAAACTCATTAAAGGGCCTTCCCCGTACATCTTGTTCTAAAATAACGCTTCAAATGTTGACTTACCTGATTTTAAGATTATCTAAGTAGGTCGTTATGCTTTAAAATGGAAGCATATTTCCTGCCTTGCTTTAATTATTATTACATAAAAGTATGTGCTATGTTACATAGGGCTCTTAGGTTGATGAAATTGCCATTCAGTTCTGATGGCACTGTTAGATTAAGCAACACGCCCTTCTTTGACTTCAACTTTGACAAGACTTTTGTTTCTGAGAACTTACATGTTTGATTGCAGCCAATTCCTGTGAAGAATGCTATTCAGATTTTTAACATTTCCTTAAATGTAAAGCTTAGAGGTAATTTTAGCTTACTTAACCAATATCACAGCTTAAAAATTCTTAATTTCCTCTTGTCGCCATCAAATCATCTTCAGTAGCTGTGTTCAAGTGGTCCCTTGCTTCATCCTTAGATAAACTTTGAAGTGAAAATAGACACTCTTCTTTCCAAAGCTTCTAAAAATAGGTAGTAGACATTGAAGTCTCTGTTTTTCTGCCAATTAATTGGATTTTATGTAGCCTTATTTTAATAAAACTCAGTTTTACAGCAATGTGCTACAACGAGGAAGTTGAATTCTCTACTATGTTATCTGTTTATTTGGGGTGGGGGATAAAGTTAGAAGAATTGGGACTATGAACGTTTTTTCTCTGTTTTCACTTGTTAACTCCATGAGCAGTATTAGGAACACGAAATGAGTCTGATTATTTTCTCTACAGTATTGGAATTGGGTTAAATCTTTTCAAATTATTTGTCGCCTGGCCTTGGCTTATTCAAAATGGGCTTAATAGACCAATTCGGCAATGTTTAAGTGTGAACCTCTGCCTGGATGCTGTTGCATTTCTGGGAACTGGCCACTCTTTCAGACGGAAGTTTTACCTGCTTTTCATGTAGAGCGTTGCATATGCGATCCTTTGAGGGCAAAAAAAATTGGTTTAAAGGAAAAAATAAAAAATAAAATCCTTCTAATAAATGATCTTTAAAGGTTTATTGAACTCTAATCATACTGTTATATTTTTGTTTTATTTTATTTAAATGATAAAGCCCATACAAACACATGGTGAGATTCAAGACAGCAACAAACACTTCCTTTTCATAACCCCTAGATTTACTTAACACACCTGCAAGTAATCATGTCAGCTATGTGATTTCAGTCTTTTTGGTGATGATAAATTTTACTTTGAAAATTGTACTCTTATTCATTTATCGCCTGATGTGATATTAGTTGTCTCAAACCCATGAAAGAAACACTTTGATGAATTTCTACCTAAGTCTTGACTTAGCCCCAAGTAGTCAAGATTGCAGATTTATGTCTGTGCATGTGTGTTATAATAGCGCTGGTCAGCACCAAAATGCAGAGTTTGAAGGGTCACCCTTATTGCAGTATTATTATTAAGAAACCATCAAAACTGTTAATTGATGCAAACACATTTTATAAAGTTCTAGGTCAAATAGGTCATCAATATTTGAATCAGTCCGTGGTCACTCTTTCGCTTCACTCACCTCAAACTTCTCTGTGTCTATTTATAATCCTGTTTTACTGAGAAGCTTTTGCGAGAGCCTTCCAACCATTGGTAGTCTTCTAGGCTTCCTAGCCCAGGCCATGTCACTTCCAGCCTTTTAGGCCGCACTTGGAAAGTTTAGCTTTACAAGTTGGCAGACTCCACCACCTGAGCAGACTTTGACCCCACCTAGAAGAACCTGAGAAGGATCCAGCGTCCATATCTGCTTTCATGTTTCATTTCGTATGTCGTAACTAGCATACCGTGTAGCAGAGAACGTTTAAGATTATTTTAGATTAGAAAGACGAGGCAAAAGAGAGCTCTAGCCGAGCCAATGTTGCGTACCTACCCTTTAGTCCTTTCATCATCACCGCTTGTTTCTTGAAATCATTGGAGGAGGAAGTTCCTCATTCTAGCACTGCATCCTCTTTTACAGACAGGCAGGAATCAGTGGCAAGAATGCTGTATTCATTCATACAATTTTATGATAATGAAGGGCCTTTTACATTGAATGAATGAATGAATTCACCTGTGGGAAAACAATATACTGACTTAAAAGTAATTGGAAATGGAAATACTGGCTATAATAACATTTATCAAAATCAGAAGGTCCCCAAAATACTAAGAAAGTGTGAAAAATAATACCATGATGCTTCATGTTTAGCAGTTTATTATTTTGTGCCCTTCTGTAGTGTTTTATTTGAGAGAAGGCAGTGAGTGTGACTTTCTTTGCCCTGGATAATACTGATTGTGAACACAAGATGGAACCCAAAGTATAAACAAAGTAATCGGTGCACAGGTCAGCATGTTCCCTGTGACTTTCAATAAGAATGAAAGTATTTTGTGGGCGGTTACCACGGTAAGCTTTCCTGCGCTTGCTTATTGCAAAGTTAGTCACCGGTCACTTTGTCCAGACATTGCAGTTAGCTAAGTAGCATAATGACATTTGCTTTTCAAGAAGGAAAATGATGTATTTCCTGGAATTGTTGGCATCTATGCTTGAAAAAGTAGCAGCGTTGGTTGGGGAAGAATGAATAGTAGTAGAAGTACTTTTTGAGCTGAGCTCATGTACATGCTTTTGTCAATAAATTCTCAGATGAACACATCAGATACAAACAACTTCCTCGGGCAGAAGAGATTTTTAATTTAGTTTATTTGCATCATTATAGATCAGTATTTAGGTTGTTTATATGTAAATGTGTGAGATTTGAGGAACAATTAAGTGTTGACAAAGTAGATTGCAGTCATATCAATTGCAGTGTATTTTCCATAATTTTTCTAACTGACATCTTTGATGATAAATAGTGGATGCCAAGTCAAAGCCGATTATACAGTGCACTAGGAATTCATGGGGCTGTCAGGAGAAGACCGATTGACTTCAAATTTACATATTAATGAGAAGATTTGTTAAGAGGGTGCTTGACTATAGAAAATAACAGCGTATTTATAGGGCACGACATTTTATAAATAAAGCTGATGCAGGAAAATGGAAATTAAACCTTTTAGGTTAATAAATTCAAGAGACGGCTAAAATGCATATTTGCATTTTTATTTTCTGAAATTTACCTTACTCTCTCCAGTCCCTGTGGTTTTCTTTTCTTTTTTTTAAATTCTACATCAAATTTGAATTTTTCAAGGATATAAAATTACTTATTTTCTTTGTGTAATTCAGGTATCTTATGGGAGATTCTTGAAGCATAAATGTAACTTTTAAGACTAAATTTGCTTTTGTAGAAATGGACTTCAAAATTGTATATACAATAGAAAGTAAATTATAAGTGATTTTTAAAAATAAGACTTCATTGATAGTAATAAAACAGGAATATTTTTAATTTAATGAACTTAGCTCATTAGTTGGAACTGGTGGATGGTAATTTTGCAAGAATTACCTAAATATCTTACTTTCATAGTTTGGAACTTAAAAATAATAATATTCATTGTTATTTTTTAGTATATGAATCCAAGTAATAGAATCTGATAATAGTATTGATGCTATATTGAAATTTGAGGTGATTAACATATTTTCTTTCTTTGTATATGTGTGTGTATGTATAGTATATATGTATTACACATATATGTAGATATATGTATACATATGTATATATAACATGCAAACATGTATATAACAGATTTTATATGCTGTATAGACATATATATGAGAAACGGCTATATACATAAATACACAGATATAGTTGTAGATATATAGATAAATGTAGATATATAAATATGTAGATACATATATAAATACATCTATATTTATACCTGTATTTCAATTATAAAACTTTATACTGGTTTAAGAACTTTGAAGTTTAGAAATTTGTTTTAAGTCATTTTAAGATAATTTGGGATTTTCACAGGTAGCTCTAAAATAAGAACCTGTCAAAACACAAAATTCATATAGATATTTCTTACTTCTGGATTTTCTGCAAGTACAAAGGTACTCCATGGTCTTTTCGTTGGTTTGAGGATTAAGGGAAATGTTTCATGAACTGTATCATCTGGATCCTGTCCTAAGGAACCTCCTTCCTATAGAGATTCCTTTTATTGCGTTTTAAGATAAGTTTGT